CCGATCTGTAACCCCATTGTCTCCCCCCCCCAGGCTACGTGCAGGGCATGAGCGACCTGCTCTCCCCCGTCCTCTACGTCACCCAGAACGAGGTCGACGCCTTCTGGTGCTTCGCAGGTTTCATGGAGCTGGTGGTGAGTCGCGGGGGGGACCGAGCGTGGGGGGGGGCGAGATGGGGGGTTTCGGGGCCCCCCCTAACCCGCCGTCTCCCCCCCAGCAACATAACTTCGAGGAGAGCCAGGAGAGCATGAAACGGCAGCTGGGCCAACTGGGACTGCTGCTACGTGTGCTGGACCCGCCGTTGTGCGACTTTCCTGGGGTGAGTGCCCCCCCCCCCCCCCGGGAACCGCCCCCTTGTCTGCCGCGCTCACCCCCTCGTCCCGCCACCTCCATACACCGGGGAAACTGAGGCACGTGCGGTCGTCATGCAAAACACATTTCATCACACCTCTGGGACTCCCTGGGGCTGCAGGGGCCGAGCCCCATTTCCCCCCCCCCCATACCCTGAGCCAGCCAGTCCCCCTCCCAGGGCTGGGCTTCCTCACTGACCCCCCCCTTGTCTCCCCCCAGACTCGAAGGAATCCGGCTCCTTGTGTTTCTGCTTCCGCTGGCTTCTGATCTGGTTCAAGCGGGAATTCGCCTTCGAGGACGTGCTGCAGCTCTGGGAGGTGGGGGGGGCTGTGTGTGGTGGGGGGGGGGCTTGGGGGAGCTGTGTGTGGTGGGAGGGTTGGGGGGGGCTGTGTGTGGTGGGAGGGGCTGGGGGTGTGCGTGAATCAGGTGGGAGGTTTGGCCGGTGTTCCCTGCCCCTGGTGAGTAGATACATGATGGGGGGGGTTCCTTGTGGAGGGGGGGAGGGCTCAGCTGGGGTGGGGGATCCTTATGAGTCTGTCTGGCAGGGAGGGGCCTCCCCCCCCGCCCCACTGACCCTGTCCCTCCCCCCAGGTGCTGTGGACGGGGTTGCCCTGTGCCAGCTTCCACCTGCTGGTGGCCTGCGGGATCCTGGACTCGGAGCGCGAGGCCCTAATGAACTCAGGGTTCGGCTTCAGCGAGATCCTCAAGGTGAGACCCCCCCCCGGTAGTCCCCACCCCGAGCTCCCCCGTCCCAGCTTCCCTGGCTCCGACGCCTTCTCGGGGCTCCCCCCAGGGCCGGCCCACAGGGGGAGCAGCCCCCCTTTGCCGGAGGAGGGAGCGTTCACCTGGGAATGGTGCAGGGGAGTTTTACTAGTTTACTGTCTTCCGCTAACATGGGCTGTGCCTCAGTTTCCCTGGGGTGCTGCACCAGTACTAGGAGGGGATGGGACCTAAGGGGGTGACTTCACTGCGGGGTGATACTTGTAACCTGAGCCCAGGAGGGGCCAGGGGCCAAGTGACACCTTCTGTCTGAGACAAAGGCTGGAGGAGGAGCCGGGGGGTGGCTGGGGGAGGCGGCTGGAGGGGGTGTCAGTTTGGAGCCAGCTGGGGAGACGGGGCGAGGCCAGAACCGGGGTTGGGGTGTCCCGGAGTGACGGGGCGACGCTCTGAACTGCTCCCTACGAAGCCAGGCAGGACTCAGGGGGGGTCCTCCTCTCTCGGAGCAGACTGTCCCCGGGCAAGAAGCTCACACGGCTTCACCTTCCTGGGGCTGAGCCCGGAGCATTCAGCATCCCCGTCCCCCCGTGCGCCTCCCGCAGCGAGTCCGCCCGGGGGGGTGTGTCCTGGGGGAGCCAGGGGGTCCTGCCCCCCAACTCCGCAGTCAGACGTGACTCTCAGCCGGCCGGAAACGTAGGTTTATTAGCCGACAGGAACAGCCCAAACCAGAGCTTGTGGGTACAGAGACCAGGACAATCTCCCGATTCGTCACCCCCCTTGGCCAGCCTGGAACCCCCACCCAGCAGCCCCCTCCCCCCCAAATCTCAGTCCTTTGTGCTCCAGGTGTTACCGTAATACACCTAAGAGAACTTCGCGGGTGCTGGGGGGGGGGGATCCTGGGTACGACCGTAATGTACCTAATAAATGTGCCCCCCCTTCTCCCCCAGCACATCAACGAGCTGACGATGACGATGAGTGTGGAGGAGACGCTGGTCCGGGCCGAGGCGCTGTACAGACAGCTGGTGGCCAGTCCTGTGAGTGCCCCCCGTCCCCCCCACCTGCCCCCCGCCCCGTGAGTG